ACAGCCGCTAAGACACGCAACTAACGGATGAGGAGATCTATACTCGGAACATACAAAAACAATCTCTAGCCTCTAGTCAGTCTCTACTGTTTGTCTGTTACTGTACAGGGAAAGTATTATCTAAGTAACAATTAGCATTATAACACAGATGCATAAATAATGTTCATTCCTTACATAATTTTAATTTAGACCAACTTTGAATTTCAAATCTCAACTAGGAAACCTTGACCCTACCTTGATTTCTTCCTGGATTGGTGTAAAGGTGGAGGGAAAGAAAGATGCTATGAGCACTGGAACACCGAGCACCAGCGGCATTACAATCATATTAGTGCTCGATCCCAGTTTAGAATCACAAGCATCAATGCAACGCCCTGAACCTGAACCCGTGGTAAAAGAAGACGTCCCTGCATTTCCAATATTATTATCATCATGCCTCCTTTTTGAATAAAAGCAAATCCAACTCTTCCAAGACCATTACCTTGAGAAGAATGTAGGAATCCTATGTGGACTTAACTAGTTGCGATAAAGATGGAATTACATGTGGATAATACCACTTCAATAAGAGTTTGATACATGGAAAACTAACGTCCTATAATTAAGGAAACACATTCGAAATGTTTGGGATGCAACTGCCCTCCACTAACCATTTTTCCAATGAACTTGATGCAACGGGACAATAACCAACTCACCCACGATAGATGGGAGTTGGCAGCCATTGTTTCTTTATATATAGGAGTTCCCTGCTCACCAAGAATAGATTGCGAACATAGGGTTCTATCACCATAAGAATATAAAGGTCTTGAGTGAGTAGAAGGATTCCTTGTGCAACCAACCATGTCTTCTTCAAGTATCACTCTAATGTTTTCATGATAGTGATTACATCTTTCAGTTAAGTATATAGAGTTAAGTCCTACATTTGGTATCAGAGCCAACTTAACTGCTCCTAATCCTATTTGTGTTTCTCGTTCAATGTTGTTGTGAGATCATGCATCTCATGTTCTTTTAAATTTTTTCTTGATTTTATATGCATACATAACTGGTGATGAAAACTTATTGAATGTCAACATTCTTGTCCTAAGAAAGAATGTATGAAATGTTAAAGTTTTGATCACTGTATAACATCATATTGATCAGGCCATTTACTTGTCTAAAGACTTGATACAATTGTGTGAAAAGATCCTGTAATGGTGGGTGTATAATCAAGAATGAATGGCTGCTTATAGTCTTACCTAAATGTATGATATAAGCATGCGTTTGAACGATTTAAATGTTTCCATGTCTTCTTCAGTGAATACCTCAGCTATGAACCTGTCCTCCATTAAACATTTTATTTTGGAATCATGTAATGTTCTTTATGTACCTTCTATAAGAAGGAGTTTAATTTTTTCTTCTCAACTTGTGAAATCTGGCTTTGCTTTTGCCGGTGACAATGAAAATCTTAAAATTTTCTTGAAAAATAATCCATCAAATATGATTGGAATTTGTCTCTTAATGAGTGATCTTTGGCAAGTGTTTTGTACTGTTTTAAATGAGATGGATTGTATGAATGTCACGGCTTCAATGCCAAGAAATAGATTGTTTTTAAATGAAAGTACTTTTATGCTTTGGCATAGAAGACTTGGCCATATCTCTAGGGCTAGAATGGATCGTCTGGTTAAAGATGAAATTTTGCCAAAATTGAATTTCAATGATTTACTGAATTGTATTAATTGTTGCAAAGGAAAATTGACAAATCTAAAAAAGAAAGGTTCGATTAGAAGTCAAAAGCTTTTAGAGATCATCCATATGGATGTCTGTAGACCTTTTTCCCACTAAAACTCTTTGTGGAAATGTATACTTTGTGACATTTATTGATGATTATTCATGGTACACATACCTCTATTTAATCTCTGAGAAATCCTCAGTCATGGATTGTTTTAAAAAAATTAAAAAACCAATTAAATTTGTCCATTAAAGTGTTAAGGTCAAATAGAGGAGGAGAATACTATGGTAGGTATGTTGAGACAGATCAAGCTAAAGGGCCATTGGCTTTGTTCTTGGAAAAATGTGGAATAATTGCTCAGTATACGAATCAGGGCACACCATAGTAAAACAGTGTGGCGGAAAGGAGAAATATGACTCTTAAAGAAATGGTTCGAACCTCAATTTTTGTGGGGTGGAGCTCTTAAAATGGCGAATTATATTTTGAACCGTGTTCCCACAAAGGTAGTATTGAAGACTCCATATGAATTATGGACGAGACGCAAAGTGAGTCTCAACCATTTGCATGTCTGGGGTTGTGCAGCTGAAGCTAGGATGTATAATCCCATGGAGAAGAAATTAGACTCAATAACAGTTACGTGTAATTTTGTGGGATTCCCTGAAAGATCCGAGGGATTTAGGTTTTACACTCTAAGCCTTCCTCATAAAATTATCGAAACTGCTCTAGCTAAGTTTATAGAGGATGGTGATGAGATTCAAGAGTCAGACACCGATAGAGAGAGTTCATGGTTTGAGGAAACAGGTGATGTGTTGCCAGAGAAAAGAATTGAGATTTTTTTTAATAATGAAGCAATGGATGGCGTGCATTTGCATGGCAATCCAAAAACCACAAATCAGCCACAACCAATGATTGAGTTCCAACTTAATGATTTTGTTCAACCAACATATGAAAATGCCATGACCGAAGCGGCCAGATCCTCATCACAAACTGGAAACCAACTGATTAAGCGTCAAGCCAATGTTAAGAGAAGACTATTGCCACCGAGAACAAGAAAGTCAGCTATACCTGATGATTACTTGGTGTATCTCCAGAAGATGGAGATAAATGAAGACATAATTGATGATCCAATGACTTTTGATCATGTCATGCAATATGAGCAATCACAATTATGGAAGAATGCAATGTTGGAAGACATGAATTCCATGCAGGTTAATGGGGTTTAGACTTTGGTTAATGTACCTGAAGATGTGAGGGCTATTGGCAGCAAGTGGATCTTTAAGACAAAGAAAGATTCATTTAGCAAAATTGAAATATATAAGGCACGACTAGTAGCAAAGGGTTTTACATAAGCTGAGGGAATTGATTATTCATAAACTTTTTCTCCATTGTCAACTAAAGACAGTCTCAGAATCATTCTTGCATTGGTTGCACATTATGACTTAGAGCTTCACCAAATGGATGTGAAAACGGCATTTTTTTAATGGAGATTTGGAGGAGGACATCTATATGGAACAACCACTTGGTTTCATAAAAGAAGGGCAAGAGAAAATGGTGTGTAAGTTGAACAAATCTATATATGGATTGAAGCAATCGTCCCAATAGTGGTTCTTAAAGTTTGACGAGAAGGTGACTGCTTTTGGATTTACTGAAAACAAGATTGATGATTTCATATACTTGAAAGTGTGTGGTTCAAGGTACACTTTCCTTATCTTATATGTAGATGATATTCTCCTTGCTAGTAACTGTATCAATTTGTTGATTGAGACAAAAGCCTTGCTGTCTAAAACCTTTGAGATGAAAGATATGGGAAATGCTTCTTTTGTTCTTGGGATAGAAATCACAAGAGATAGATCAAAAGGGTTACTTGGAATTTCTCAGAAGTCATACATTGATAAGGTACTGCAACAATTCAACATGCAAGATTGCTCAAGTGGTGAAATGTTTATGGGAAAGGGAGATAGACTGAACAAGTCATAATGTCTTTAAAATGACTTAGAAAAACTCAGTATGACATCAAAGCCTTATACATCATTTATTGGAAGTATAATGTATGCTCAGGTTTGCACGAGGCCTGACCTAGCCTTTGCAATAAGTGTATTGAGTAGATACCAATCAAATCCAGGAGAACAACACTAGATTGTAGCAAAGAAAGTGTTGAGGTATTTATAGAAGACCAAGTCATTCATGCTGACGTACAAAATAGTACAAGACTTGGAACTTAAGGGACATGCTAATTCAGACTTTGCAGGTTGTGTGGATGATAGAAAATCAACGAGTGGGTACATATTCTTTCTTACTGGTGCAACTATTTCATGGAGAAGTACCAAACAAAGGGCACTAGCTACTTCAAATATGGAAGCTGAGTTTATAGCCCTATTTGAAGCAACTAAGACGGGATTGTGGCTGAAAAATCTCATATCATTTATGAGAATAGTGGACACTATTTCAAGACCACTAACTGTGTATTGTGACAACAAAGCAACAGTATTCTTTTTCCAAAAAAAAATAAGAAGTCTGAAGCCACTCGATTAATGGATGTCAAATAACTATCAGTGAAAGAACATGTAAAGAAAGGAGAAATCTTTGTAGAACACATTGATACAAAGCTGATGTTAGCAGATCCCTTGACTAAGCCGCTGGTTTTGGGAGTGTTTAAAGAACATGTTTCGAGCATGGGAATGCATGACAACTTGGGTTTCGCTGAAGTGTGGGAGTAACAACCTAATATGTGTTTTACTTTTATTCAGTTTACTTGTTTTAAGTTCGTCATTGCTGAATATATGAGGTTTTAATTTATGACTTGCAAGAAAATGTCTGATCTTTGTTCCAAATAACATTTGATTAAGTTTTGTTATGCAGGAAAATGGAAAAGAAATCCAGTGATTGAAGATGGCAAACCACTTTCAATCAATAAAGGTAAACTGGATAAATGGGGAATGAAATGGGGTATGCATCAAAAACCATGTTTAGAATGTGTATAAATGTATGTCTTCATTAGCATTATACAGTATGAATTTGTGGATTATGGTTTCAGGGTGAATGCAACATTATTGTATGTATTATTTCCTGAGATTCGAACTCCAAATGATTACTGGTCAATGTGTATAAGATGCTAGTTACGTAAAACTCAAGTGATCACTAAGGAATGAAATTATGTAGTACATGAAATTTCGAAACCACAACTAATTAGCGTCCATGTGGGAGAATGTAGGAATCCTATGTGGACTTAACTACTTGTGATAAAGGTGGAATTACATGTGGATAATACAACTTCAATAAGAGTTTGATACATGGAAAACTAACGTCCTACAATTATGGAAACACATTCAAAATGTTTGGGATGCAACTACCATCCACTAACCCTTTTTCCAATGAACTTGATATAACGGGACAATAACCAACTCACCCACAATAGATGGGAGTTGGCAGCCGTTATTTCTTTATATATAGGAGTTCCCTGCTCACCAAGAATAGATTTTGCGAACATAGGGTTCTATCACCATAAGAATATAAAGGTCTTGAGTGAGTAAAAGGATTCTTTGTGCAACCAACCATGTCTTCCTCAAGTATCACTCTAATGCTTTCATGATAGTGATTAGGTCTTTCAGTTAAGTATATGGAGTTAAGTCCTACAGAAACTACTCCTACTTGTTTAATTTTTAGGTTCATTTTTTCAATCAAGTCCACAGTACCAAGAAGCTGTTTTGGGAAGCTAACAGCTTACCCAATCAAGCTCGGACGAACGCAAATGCTTGGACTGTAGATAGTGCAGAGGCATTGACGGATAACATAAGGGATATAGGGCCTCAGTTGCTGCTACTAAATTGGTTTCAAATCTAGAAAGCCCCAACACAATTAAATTCCGTGAGAAGACCATGATCAATTGGCGTCGGCTATGGTGTTGCCAGCAATCTTGCAAATGAAAGGGTTAATGACATGGAATCGCATTGTGGACAATAAATAGAATGGCCAAAATGCAGGAAAGACACCATAAGGCACGGCCAAATGATGCGAACAGGTTGGTTTCGGCCACTAATAAACCAATGGCCACAAGTGAAGTTTGTTTGTGTGTGTGTGTGTGTGTGTGTGTGTGTGTGTGTGTGTGTGTGTGTGTGTGTGTGTGTGTGTGTGTGTGTGTGTGTGTGTGTGTGTATTATATATACTTCAATGGAGGCTTGATACAAATATGGAAAAGTTCCAGAGAATGACAGAGAGAATGATGATTATTGAATTCGAGATTCCTCACAATAAACATGTGAGGTTGTTACTGTTATACATGGAAGAGGAAGGGAGATTCTTCACTCATCAAACCAAAACAAATCTCAGCCCTTAATTGTCATCACCCTATGAGATGATGCCACTTGTTATAATCTACCACTTAAGCTAGATACAAGTGAGAGCAGCCATATAGACTATAATCCAATGGCTCAGATTTAAAATGAAAACAATTATTAAACAAAGCATTTGAATTGTTTCTTTGGCTCCAAGTTTCGACTAAAGGGTTACACACTAACATTCCCCTCTAACCCTTTAGTTTATTTAACTCTCAAAACCTCCCTTAGGTAGACAAATCAATCTTTAGGCAAAGCTTTAGTAAGAATGTCTGCAATTTGCTCCTTAGTCTTCCAATACACTAGTTCAATCTTTTTGGCTTGAATTGCTTCTCGGATGAAATGAAATTTTCTGCTGATGTGTCTTGTCTTTTGATGATGAATATGATTCTTTGCCATAGCAATGGTTGATGTATTATCACACATAATATGAGTTCCCTTCACTTGTTCTTCTCCAAAATCTTCAAGTACAAATCTCAGCCATTTTCCTTGAAAGGTAGCTTCTGTAGCACTTACATATTCTGTTTCTGCAATGGACAGTGCCACAGTGCTTTGGTTGATTGATGCCCATGAGAACACACCAGATCCTAGTGAAAATGCATACCTTGAAGTACTCCTCAGATCATCCTTACTTCCATCCCAATCACTATCATAGTAACTAATTATAGTAGTGGCCTTCCCTTTTTCAAAGACAATTCCAAAGTCAATTGTTCCTTGAATGTATCTCAACACCCTCTTTAATGTTTCCATGTGTTTCTTGGTGGGATTATGCATGAGCTTTGCTAATAAGCTGGCTACAAACATTACATCAGGTTTGGTTGCTATCAAATAAAGTAAACCCCCCATAAGCTGTCTGTATTCTCCCTCATTACCATCAACCTTACTCAATTTTTTATTCACTGCAAGTGGAGTGGCAACAGATTTGCAGTCTTTTAACCCAAACTTCTTAATCAGCTTCTGTGCATACTTCTTTTAGTGTATGAAAATGTTTTTCTTATTTTGTAGTACTCATATTCTAAGGAAATGGTATCTCATAATGTTTCATTATGTCATCTTTAAACTCTTCAAGCATTTGTGGACTGTTATCAATGTATACAATATCATCTACATATAAGGAGACAATAATGATACTTGAATCCTCCCTTGTTTTAACATACAAGGTTGCCTCACTTGAGCTTTTCTTGAAACCTACACTGTTGAAGTACGCATCAATCTCATCATACCAAGCCCTTAGTGCCTGCTTCAATCCATACAGTGCCTTGTGCAGTTTATACACCTTAGTTTCTTCATTCTCTTTCACAAAACCTTGTGGTTGCTCAACATATACTTCTTCCTTCAACACTCCATTGAGAAATGCAGACTTCACATCCAGTTGATACAAACTCCATATCTTCTATAGTAAGGGCAATCAAGGTTCTTATGGTATCCAACCTTGCCACTGGGGCAAATGTCTCATTGTAATCAATTCTAGGCTTCTGTGAGTAACCTTTAGCCACCAATCTTACCTTATTTTTCTACACAGTACCATCTAGATTGAGTTTGGTCTTATAAACCCACTTGACACCAATGACTGGTTTATCAAATGGTCTCTCAACAAGCTGTTACGTATTGTTATTTTCTATCATTTCTAACTCAACTTTCATTGCCTTTCTCTATAAGTCAGCTTTAGCTGCATCTCATAACTTTCAGGTTCAATAATACACATATTGCACTAAGCCATGATTTCATTCACACCTCTCCACTTTTTAGGTGTATCATCATATACTTGAGATATGTCAGCCACAATTTCACTTTGAGAGGTAATGAATTACTCAGAATGAGAACTTTCACCACTTTCACATATCTTTTTAGCATTATGGTATTCAGTGACAACTAGAAATCTCACTTCAGTATTTGTAGTGTAGTTCCAATCCCAGAAAGCATTCTCATCAAATGTGACATCTCTTGATAGAATGATCTTCCTTGAAATTGGATCAAATAATATGTAGCCCTTCTCATTAGCACCATAGCCAACAAAGATGCACTTATGACTGTTTTCTTTCCACTTGTGTCTGAGATTAGAAGGGATATGCACATAGCAAAGTGAACCAAAGATCTTTAAGTGAGTTATCCCTGGTTTTATGCCATTATATGCCTCAAATGGTGTTGTTTTCTTCAAAGCTTTGGAAGGACATATGTTGAATAAATAAATTGCAATGTTCACTACTTCTGCCCAAAGCACATATGGAAGATTCTTTTCATACAACATTTGACTTTGCCATTTCTACGACAGTTCTATTCTTCCTCTCTGACACTCCATTTTACTGAGGAGTGTAGGCCATGGTAAACTGTCTTTGGATTCTTAGATCACTGCAATACTTATCAAATTCTGCAAAAATGAATTCTCCTTCTTTATCACTTCTAAGACATTTCACCTTATAACCACATTGTAACTCAATCATTGCCTTGAACTTTTTAAAACATTCAAGTGCATCATATTTATATCTCAAAAAATACACCCATGTCATTCTTGTGCAGTCATCTGTGAATAGCATAAAGTATTTGTTTCCAGAGTGAGATTCAACTTGCATTGGACCATAAATGTCTGTGTGGATAAATTCCAATGGATTATTAGCACTCCAAGTTGATTCAGAGGGAAATGAGTCCCTGTGTTGTTTTCCCATCATGCAACCTTTACATACACTTATGGACACTTCCAAGTGGGGCAATCCATACCATCTCCTGTTCTTCAAGCAATTTGAGACTTCTTTCATTCAAGTTTCCCAATCTCTTATGCCATATCTAAGAGCAATGTGTGACACTTGCTCGTGGTGCAAACTATTTTGCAGGCATCATTGTCAAGGGAAAACATCTATTATTAGTCATTTGTACTCTAACCACCAAGTTGTCAAGTGACCAACCATCAAAGATGTTCACTACATCTCCTCCAAACAGCAAGTAATACCTATGTTCCATCATTTGTCCAACACTAAGGAGATTTTCCTCAAGTCCAAGGACAAGCATCACTTCTTGTATATGTTTTCTTCCCATTTTGGATTCAATCACTAAAGTTCCATTTCCTGCCACCTGAACAATTTCTCTAGTTCCCATCTTCACTTTAGAAGTTAAATTTCTCTAAATATTGACCAACAGCCTATCATCACCTGTCATGTGGTTACTACAACCACTGTCAATATACCATGAGTTGTTTACTTTCACATCTCTCACTGCATTACAAGCATAGAACAGTGATCCTGTTTCACCCATTTGCCTTGCATAATTAGCCTTTTGCACTCCCTTATTCTCATGACAATCCTTCACAGCATGACTTGGTTTATCACACCTTGTACACTCTAGTTTTCCTTCATACCAACACTTTCCATAATGAAACCTATCACACCATTTACAATTTCCCTGAGTATTATTCTGCGTCGAAGTAAAATTAGGCATGTGATCCCAATTTATCTAAGCATTGTTTTGTCTATTAGCAAAGTTAAGCTTGTGATCCCAACCTTTTCCTCTTGGTTTCCAATTCTTTTGAAACTTCTTATTTCCAGAAGATCCTCCACTTTTAAGACCCTTTGTTGCAACATTTAAGCTAGCGAATGCTCTCTCAGTATAGGTTTCAGTATGCAAATCAAGCCTCTACTCAAATCCCTTGAGTGAAGCAACAACTTCTTGTACCTCAAGAGTTTCAAGATCTCTAGAGTGCTCAATCACAGATTATATTGCATCATATGTTTTTGGAAGACTAATTAACAGTTTCTGCACAATTTTCTCCCTAGATAATTCTTGTTTATAGCTTCTCATTTGATTAGTGATATCAAATAATCTAGTGAGATACACAGATAACGATTCATTTTCTTTCATGCCAGTATATTCAAAATCTCTACATAACCCTTGCAATTTTACACTTTTTACTTGTTTGACTCCTCAGAATTCACTCTTCAAGACATCCGAAGCACTTTTGGACGTTTCTTCATTCACAATTCTGAGGAAAATTTAATCTAAGACATCTCCTTAGGTTATTCCAAGCGCACGAGCATCTCTCATCAAGGTCTCACTGAATGATGCGAACTCCATCATTTCCTTCTTCGTCTCATTGAGCACAGCCTTCATATCCTTCGGATCTAGAGGTTCAAACCCATTTTCAACCAACTCCCACAGACCATACGATTTCAATATAGTCATCACACAAATCCTCCAGAATTCATAATTTTCTCTATTGAAGACCGAAGCTCTAAGCTCAGTAGTACTTGAACCAGCCATGTTAGACTTTGGATTCAAGAAATCACAGCTTCCAGATTCGATTTGAGCTCAAAATGCAGCTCAATCGCATCCACAGATGTCACACCCAATTTAGAAGATGAAACCTGGCTATGAGGCCATGTTTGTGTGTGTGTGTGTGTGTGTTGGATATGCTTCAATGGAGGCTTGATACAAATCTAGAAAAGTTCCAGAGAATGACAGAGAGAATTTCAGAAATAATGTTGATGATTGAATTCTAGATTCCTCACAACAAATATGTGAGGTTGTTACCATTATACATGGAAGAGGAAGGGAGATCATTCACTCATCAAACCAAAACAAATCTCAGCCCTTAATTGCTATCACCCTATGAGATGATGCCATTTGTTATAATCTATCACTTAAGCTAGATACAAGTGAGAGCAGCCACATGGACTATGATCTAATGGCTTAGATTTAAACTGAAAACAATTATTAAACAAAGCATTTGAATTGTTTCTTTGGCTCTAAGTTTCGGCTGAAGGGTTACACACCAACAAAGTTATTGCGAAAAGCATGAGCAAGCACAAAACACGGTTTGCACCATCAATGGCATTTGAAGAAAATAATAAATAAGCAATCCAACCACAGGGGGAAACAAAACGTGAGTGAGTACACGAATGCAGGGAATGCACTGAGAGACAATTGAGCCGAGGCCGGAGACGCAGGTGACCAACAAGGTAAAGCTCCAAGAGGCATAGACGACGGCAACAAATGCACCAAAAAGAGCACCAACGCTTTAGAAGCAAAGGCAGTAAAGCTGACCTCTTGAAGGTCGTCTTGTTTCATGGTCGAAAAGCTGAGCTCGGTGACCAGGATGACAAAAGACATGACATAAAGCCAACAGAGGAGGATGGCAGGGGTGGAAGGTAAAAGATATTGTATTTTGTATATTGAAAATGTTACAAGAAAAGCCTCCACCATATAACAGTGCTGGAGTTCTAAACAATAAAGGTAGCAGCTGCCCTAACTACACTCAACCATATGCAATGAAAGCTAGCCTATACAACCCTGAGTGTCTATACAATAGACCTCTTGACTTTGTGATCGAAAGCCTTATTTTGTTGGATCTTGTTTCCCGAATTTTGTGTCCACAAGAGATAAACTTGCTATCTTTTCTCCATCATCCCCCCGCAAGCTCATGAGCATGCAACGAATGAGCTTGGATTTTAAGAAACGAAAATGATCAGCAGACAAACCCTTAATGAAGATATTTGCGATCTGAAACTGAGTAGAGACGTGACGACATTCAACGAACTTGCCACAACAAGCTCACGTACAAAATGATAATCCACTGCAACATGTTTTGTTCGAGCATAGAACACGGGATTAGACGGCAATGCAATAGAGCTTGTATTATCACACCAAATCAAATGAGTGGAAATAGGGATGCAAAGCTCTTGGAACAGCTGTTGTAGCCAAACAAGTTCAGTTGCCGTGATTGCTAACTGCCGATATTCAGATTCGGTACTTGAACGAGCAACTGTGCGTTGCTTTTTGGAACTTCAAGAAATCAAATTTGGACCAAAGTACATGCAAAACCACCGGTAGAGCGTCTAGTGTCAGGATTCCCAGCATAATTCGAGTCAAAAAATCCAACTAAGTCCGTACCACCACAACGAAACAAAAGCCCTTCTTGAGGGGTGCCTTTTAAGTAACAAAGTATTCAATTGACAGCAATCTAGTGAACTGAGGTAGGCTTATACATATGCTGACATACCTGATTCACTGCATACGTGATGTCAAGCCTAGTGATGGTTGTAAAGCCCCTACCACACTTCAATAAGTAGTAGGATTATCCAACGATACACCATCAATGGAGCGAGGTGGGGAGCCAGATTGAACTGGAGTAGCAGAAAGCTTGGCTTCCAACATATCTACACGCTTCAACAAATCAATAATATATTTGGTCTACTTAAGATGCAACCCATCATCACCACGAGTTGCTTCATGGCCGAGGAAGAAATGGAGGGGTCCTAGATCTTTCATAGCAAAACTCTGACCAAGTGATATTGTATTTTGTATATGGAAAATGTTACAAGAAAAGCCTCCATTATATAACAGTGCTAGAGCTCTAAATAATAAAGGCAGCAGCTGCCCCAACTACACTCAACGATATGCAATAAAAGCTAGCCTATACAACACTAAGTATCTGTACAATAGACCTCTTGACTTTGTGATCGAAAGCCTTATTTTGTTGGATCTTGTTTCCTAACTTTTGTGTCCACAGTAGATAGACTTGCTAACTTTTCTCCATTAGAGGGGAGTAGGCCGGAGCAGATGGTAGCGGCAAGCAAACTGAGCATGCCAAGACCAACGGCATTGCCGATGATCAAAGTGATAGCACCCTAGAAGCTCTTGTTTTGTTGATGGAAATCATTACTATTACTATTACTGGTGAAAGTGGCTGCTGCAGTTGAAGTAAAAGGAGTAATGTTGTGAATGCAGTAGTAGCGGCAGTGGCATTTGAGTTTGAAGGTTGTTTTAGCATTGATGAAGCTGTAGTTCAGAATGCGAGTGAGATTGGGATTAATGTTTGAAAGTTCTAGGATGGGTACTAGTTTAACCTAGAGGGGGGTGAATAGGTTCCAATTTAAAAATCCAATTCAATTTTCAATTTAATTTTCAGTTCTCAAATTAAATCCACATTCACATCACATATCAAACTATCATACTCATATGCAATTAAAACGATAAATAAAAAGTACACACATGATGTAGGATTTAACGAGGCAAAACCCACCACTGGGAAAATCCTCGGGCTCCCAAGCCAGGACAAACACTAAGAGAAATAAGTACAGAAAGACTTACAAAACTCATCAACTAGACATGCATACTAGTAGGCAGTTTTGTCTCCGCGCTTTGCTACTCGATCTCTCTTCAGCCTTGAGTGGAAATGATACAACACTAACGCAGTTGTAAATCACTGTCTCTTCGAACTTTGCAAGATACTAACGCGATCATGCAGAATATATGAAATGAAATGATTTTGAAAATCAACCAATTATGAAAATCATAAGGCACATTTTCATAATTGATTTCAATTGAAGCGCATGAAAAATCAGTGAACAAAAACTAATATTTTCTTTGAAAAACACATGGCAATAAAACTGATTTTTCTAAAACGAAAATAACTCTCGGTGCACTTAGACTGCTAACAAATGTTTGCTTTCAAATGATACATCATGTGGTAAAAGCAAACTGGAGACATATTCTGACTCATGAAAATATAAACTGACTTAACCCTAGGCATGCGGCACATGAATTTTCTATTTGTTTAATGCATTGCTGCTAGTGTTTATATCATACAGAACCAACCTAAATGCATATGTAGCAGCAGCAGGAAAAACCCTAAACTGATCTAATGCATGCGGCAACCAAAACATAAAAACATATTGACTCAGTGTTGATGCTCTGCTCTGTTAACTAGTCTGTGTTATGTGATACCAACCGAGAAAAACCCTAAACTCATCTCATGCATATGCGGTGCCCATTTAAAACCTAACCTGATAAACCTATAAATATGTGTCTGTTGGATCAAAGATACTCATCAGGTGGTCAAAGAAACGGAAAGATCAGACTAGTCAACCTAATTGGTTAAAACAACTAATCAAATAGAGTTTGAAGTAATCTCTAAGTGAAGAGATCAAACTAAAGATCATTTGAAATTTATCCACATTTAAAATGCATAGCATCTGACTCCAAATATATAATTCTCGTATTAATATATGGGCCTTTAATTAAGCTAAATGAAGTCAGAGCAAATTAATTAACATGTAAAGCCCAAACCTCAATTGTTATAAACTTAAAGCTAAACAGCCCATTGAACAAAAACTTATATCATGCGAATGTATATATGCATGCCAAACTTACTTGAGTGGATATCTTTGAAATACTTGTCATTTTGTGATCAAGAGCACGTGAGACAAACTTAGATTAAAATAATTACAACTGAAAACAAGCACTAGTCTAAGATTACAGACTCGGACGTTTTGTTTAGGAACTGCAAATTTTACTCTAACAATGTTGTTGGGATCAGCTGGAGAGAAAAAGGGGTCGACTATTCTAGCAATTGGAGTTTTGGTGGTAGTGGCAATTGGGTTTGAATTAATGGATGGGTGCGGGGAAATCCAGCACGAAGCTGAAGGTGGAGTTGGAGCATATTTGGAGTTGGAGGAGGCGGAGCCGCCGCACCAGGCACCAGGCACCAGCACAAACTTACACCTGAGGGATTCTGTAACTCGAAGTTAGATTCCGGTATTTGTCCAACTATGCTTTCTCTGCGTACCGTTGTAGTTGGGCTGTGTGCTTCTTGCCCACGGGGCTTTAAAATGACACTCCCCCCTCCCTCCCAAAAGAAAATAATGAATGGGCCTCACCTCAGCATCGTGTTTGGGATCCATCGCTCTTTTTGAATTTGCATTTCTGCACATTAAAATTATATATTTGAATAAGAATAGTTAAATGAAGGGGACTAGAGAAAGTAACCTTCTTGTTCAGATGTTTTGTTTAGATGTTGCTCGACGCCCTCTATAAGTATATATTGTAGAAATCCCTTCAACCTCTTTAAATATAAATGGCTATAATTGCCTTTTATAGAGTGTCCTATAATGAAATTGACTCGTGGATTGAGGTGGCGAAGAAGCGACATTGAAATGTATAATATCCCAAAGAATAATCCAAGATGAAGGGGATTCAAGGGATGAGGCGGTGTAAACTATCGCCACGTGTCCCAAAGAATCTCTCCTGTTCACGTGCGCTGGCAAGTTCAAGTTCCACCATATCCATCAAATTAAAATTAAAATACAAATTAACCCTTATCTAACATGTCTGTCCGTCTGTCCGTCTGTCTGTGTACAATTTTCTCTCTCTGCTGAGTCTACACCACAAGTTACGTTGAACCGCACACACAGACCACAACTCTTGTTATAGTTTTGTAACCGTGTGATTAAGTGCCGTCGACATAACGTACGGTTAAATAAGGTTCCAGACAAGAGTGTAGATTTTACTGTTGTTGGTTGTTACGTAGGAAGAATTCTCCTGCTTTCTCGTTTATCCTTTTCCTTTTCCCCCTTGAAAACGCTGTCAAGTTTCCCACCCGCGTGCTCTTTGCTTCAACTTTGAGCCATTTCTTTCCTTTCCTTTTCTTTATTCTCCCAAATTCTCGATTCTCCCAAATTCTCAATTCTCAAATCTCAAGTCGATCAAATCGCAATTCTCTCAATTATTATTTGTTTGTTTGTTTGGGGGTTTGGTGGAAATTGAATTCAGAGACCGATCGATCGATCGTCGATGGCGGAAGTTTTGAGCAAAACCGGTCTGTTGTCGTCCTGGCATCATCATCATCAAAACAAAAAAAGCAGCATCTCCGTTTTCCCAAAGAGTTGTAATTACAATAAATCAGGGTCTTTCTCTTGCTCCTTCAAACTGAATCCCGACATTTCATCACTATCCTTGTCCACAAAGAGTGATTTTCACGGAAAAAGGATTGCTTTTCAAGCCACCGGCATCAGGGGGAATTCCCAATCCCACGCTTCTTCTGCCGTTTATTCCCAGCAGGTTCGTTTCTTTCTTCCCATATCCTTGTTCTGAATCTGATTCCCCTGCTCCGCTGGGTTTCAGATATTATTGCTCACGATTGATGATTTTCCCCAAATTTAAGTCAACTTTCGGATCAATATTTGATCAATTAAGTCATGAGGAGATTTTGTCTATGCTTTTTGATTGCTTAAGCCAAAAACTGGTTTGTGTTTTTTTTTTTTTTTGTTGTGGGGGAATGGAATTTTGCAGTCTGGATTTCGGATTGGGAAGGCTGCGAAATGGTGGGAGAAGGGGAATCAGCCCAACATGAAAGAGGTGTCATCTGCAGAGGACCTAGTGGAATCCCTTTCAAACGCCGGGGATAAGCTGGTGATCGTTGATTTCTTCTCTCCTGGCTGTGGTGGCTGCAAAGCTCTTCATCCCAAGATATGTCAGCTGGCAGAGATGAACCCGGATGTCCAATTCCTTCAGGTGAACTACGAGGAACACAAGTCCATGTGTTACAGTCTCAATGTTCATGTCCTCCCCTTCTTCCGATTTTACCGAGGTGCTCATGGTCGCCTTTGCAGCTTCAGCTGCACCAACGCCACGGTTAGTGTTTGTCTTTCCTTCATTTGGTCTCTGATGAGTTTATTATTGAATCCGTCTATTGGTATTGGGGTCTTTTCCAAAAGCTGAGTTCGAATTTATATGCCATCCTTTTCACGTCCTGATAAGCATTTTGAGTCTTGTTTTTAATCTTATTTATTGGTTAGCTGTGGTTTTTTCTCTCTTGGATAAAGTTTGCTGGTCGGATGGCATTGGCAAATAATGTTTGCTGTTTGTATTGGTGTTGGTGTTGTTCCCTGATGGTTGTTATGATAACATGTTGACTTGGCAGATCAAGAAGTTTAGAGATGCATTAGCCAAGCACAAGCCAGAGCGGTGCAGCCTTGGGCCAACAAAAGGGCTGGAGGAGAAAGAGCTCCTCGCTCTTGCTGCCAACAAAGATCTCTCATTTACCTACACTCCTAAACCAACTGAAGATGTGCCTGCCAAGGAGGAAGTGATTGTGGCTGAAGAGGCACCATCTCGTCTTCCTCTTCCGTCGGCAACCTCACAGTCTGCTCAAGTGGTCACCGCCTGGAGATGACGTGGTCAGTGTTCTTCACCATCCCGATTCCCTAAACCCACCCATTTACTCTGCTCACCTTGTTGTATTGTGTACAGTAGTGTTTCTTGTTGATGCGATATGATCATATATGCAAGAGTAAGAGTGGAACATATAAGTAATAGTCTTAAGGTTTCTAAGGGTTTCCCCTCCCCCCCAAACAGGCGCGGAAGAGTTGAACGTTGCAGGGCTTTGGAATTGGTTTTTGGGATCCAAGCCTGCGTGCAAAAATCATGTGTTGTAAATTTGAAGAGAGCAATCTGTCGGAATGTTGGTCCGCCCTTATGATATGACGTCTGCAAATGTGTATGTAATTAAGAGCTGCTTCTTGGTCTTCTTGTTCTGTATGTAGTATTGAGTCAGTGGGAAGATTGAAGATCCTTGATACTCCTCTCCTCACCTGTTGTTTTTACTGGGGTGTGGTATCATCGTATCATATATATATATGTACGTATGTATGCAAGTATAATATATGGGATTTCAAGTTTGAAGTTTGAATGCAATGTTGAGTGCTGATTTTCAAGTGCACTGCACCCTCAACTCTTTATTATGCATGTATTATATATTTCAGAATTCAAATCCAAGAGACGTGCTAAAAGGTTTAAAACCAGACAAGATAATGAATGAACGAGTGAAGTCGGTAGATCCCAATAGTGCTTCATAAACACAAACTCTTGCACTCTTGCACTCTTGCACTCTTGCACTCTTGCACTCGGATTGGATAAAGATAAAGAAAAAGAAAAAGGGAGAAGGCGAGATGGACTGGATAAGAATTGGTGTGTTAGTGGAGTCATCAACGTGGCCTTTCTTAGTTTATACACTCACAAACACATAAAGGAACGGATAAAGGCGGATAACGGTGGCTACCCCACCACATTGCATAAGTCATGGACTCATGGGTGACTCATTCAACAAAATTCCAAGCAACACAAATACAAGGGAGTAGCAGGTTCCCTTTCGTGCCGTGTTGTCGTATCCTCCTCCGTCCCCGTGTTCATTCCTCTTGTTTTGAACACGTCTTACGCTGTCATCATTGAACTCGTCTTCCTCTTTATGTTTTTTCTATGATCAATGACGGGTGGTAATGAATCAAATATTAATAAATAGATATTACTCGGCTACTCCTTAAGATTGTTTTTTAATTAAAATGGTAATTGTATAATTTCAAATCTTATAAACTAAAATAATATGTCATGCAAATTTCATGACCATTTTAACTAAAAAACCACCTATTAATGAGTCCTTTATGTATTCATTTTTTATTTTGCTCAAATAATATTTTAACACATGTTTTGTTACTTTAAAAAATAATTGTTGTGTTAATTAATTTTTCCTGAGCTTTTAAAAAACAAGAACTTGTCATTTTTTGTTTTGACCGAATCAGAGTGCATAAAGTATTTCACTAGTGATACTTGAGAATTGTAATTAGGGATTTATGATTTCTTTTTTATACAAGGCCATAAATACATTTTGCACCAACGATGGTTTACATTAAAAGAATTCTTGTTTATCACAAATTGTTATCTTTCTACACTTTGAATTCATTAATTGCATACAGCCCACAACACAATGCAAGCAACTAAACCCTAAGCCCTAAAGATTTTCATCTGTCCCTGCTGAGGCTGGCGCTGGTGCTGGCGCTGGCGGCAGGGCTGGTGTACGTCATGCCTGAATCTGAAGCTGATTAAATATCACTCAAAACCCAACAAGGATACCGTATTACAAAAGGTACACTAACAAAACAAAACAAAACGAAACGGAAAAAGCAAGGTGATATATATATATATACATGTTTTAACAGCTAAACTACCAAGTAGCAACTCAATCGTCCACATCAATCAAGATACCAAAGTAATATATCATTCATTCAAAAGTGACATGCAATAAGAAATGTACAGGAGAGACAAGGTATCTAAAAGAAATTCAACTAAAACAACCACCACATATCCAATTTTTACTATCCTCTCTCATCTCATCTGATCCAGATGCATAGTAAACTACCAAAACAATCATAAAATGAATAAAACAAATTTATATGAAAATTTTAATTTGGATGGGGATGGAGAAGGGGGTAAGCCCGCTGAGCCATCACTGCCCCCATATCATATCATATGGAATGAATTTTAGAGGGCTCTGACTGCGGGCAGTCTTCACTGCAGGAGGGTTTGAGACACCAAACCAGCGAGTGACGGTCGAGAGCCGCCAGCAGCCCTAGACCCCTGAAACATCATGAGAGGCCAAAGGGAGGGAGGGTGGCTCAGCCTCAGCCACTCGGTTCGGCGCCCCTCTCTGCTCAGATAAGATCAAGTAGTTGAACCTCTTAGGGTTTCTATCCTCCCTTTTTATATATTCCTAAAAGGCGGTTGTTTACACTTTACACTCGGCCCCTTCTCAACCCATTTTTGGCGGCCCAAAACTAAGCGCAGCCCGAGTCTTCCGGTTTAAGCCCATCCTCGATTTTTTCATTTTTTAAATCAACTAAAATTTAAATTAGAACGAAACTCAGGAGTCAGTACTGAACTATGGTTCTACAATGTGGATGCAGCATTCATATCTCTTCCTCTGCAGCTTGACTATTATTGAAGCTCAATCATCCAGTAATTTCATTGTGCATATTCCTAAAAGGATAATGCTCGAAAGATCAAATTTATAAACAAAGTTTGCAAATCAAATTATGTGTCACCAATAAAGAAAAAACACGTTAATGGATACTTAATTAATAATCTAATCATCTACAACATCATTTAGTTTGCAAATTTGATTTGAAAAATTTAGTCTCCTTACATTACCTTTCCTAAAATCCCAAGGGCACAAACCTTAATCGACAACTAGATGCTTGGCGCAACGAACAATTCTCTCGTTCAATAGTGCTGGTCCTTACCTCTTATCCGCACTTGCCCACTCACACTTACATTTCCCTGTGACTATTCATCTTCTAGACAACAAGGGGGGTATTTCCTCAGCCTGGAGAAATTTTTTATTATGTCGAAAATACGGATGGTACACCACGTGCTTTATGTAAGTAGTGAGAAATTTTATTTTTTAAGTTATTAAGTTTTTAACACACATATCCCACCATTTGTATAGTGACACATGATGTACCACCTCGTGTGCCGGTCACACTAAAAAATCTCTCCTCAGCCTTGGCAAAATCTCGGTTGAGCAGCATTTAGAACAAATATTAAACTGACAACCATGCAATTTGTTCCAAGGACCCTTATAATATGATACGTACAGATACTGTCATTGGGATACATCCGTGTTCAGCCTTGCATGTATTTCCTGATTTACATGAAAGATGGAGAGAAAAGCACTAGGGTTCGAGGAAACTAAAACGCAATTAGGTATTTCATATCCTATAAAACTGACAATTTTATTGACTGCATAAATAATTTGCATCGTAACTTACTTTTTATGACCAAAACTTGTGTCTGCCTCAAGCAGACAACCTTGATCTGGTGGACAACTACACAGGTCAAACCTGGATGGTTCTCTAACGCGTCTTTTCCACGCGTAAAACTATACAACATTACAGAATCGAGGAAGTTCTGGACTCCTGCATCTTTTCATCTTGAGAAGTTGGCGGCAACGAGGACGATGAGATCACTGCATGATAAGATGAAGAAGCAAGTTGGGCCAACGCTGGAACGGCACCGCCTGCAAATTGTCCAAAAGGCATCATTAGATGAGTGTCAAACGGAATTGCACAACCGTAAAATAATGCACTGGATATTGTCCTTGCCTTTGAGCCAGATAGTTCGTACCAGCCATTGCATCAGTATTATTGTTTCCCACCAGACTAGACATTAATTCACACCAATCCAACATCTGGAAGCATCATCTCAAAGTTTGCACCAGTGACAAGCACTAATTTCAAAACTATGCTGTGGTTCATATAGCTACAGGACTTTTAGTCTCTTTCGTAAGTTCAGTACTTTTGTTTTGGTATATGTCAGATGTACTAACTCGATCAAATAATCCAGGTCCCAAATACTACTATCAAGTCACTACACGAAGATTACATTGCACAACTGGTTGCTCAATAATGAACATGTGGTACACCTTCATTATCAAAGACTTCACAAAACTATAACAAAGAGGCATGCCGTCTAAGAAACCTAGACATTTGCACATGAAAGGTGTTTTGAAAATATTTTCTCTAACAAAGTTTAATAACTAGACATTGGTCAAAGTGAAAACTAGTCAAATAGCCCACACCTCATGAACGTGGTTAGTATAACAAGACAATCACTGACCTGCTAAACCTGCACAAGCTGAAGAGAATACAATCACAGGCGGAGCCTACAGTTGCAAAAGGGAGATTTGTGTTATTCGCTGTAGCCATTGAAAAATTTAGGAGATACAAGTAGTGCAACAAAGAAAACTCAGAAACAATCCAATCCTTCCAAAGTCTTTGGAACATAAATTGAAATATTCTGAGACATAAATGCATGCATGCAGATACACAAAATCCAATCCATGTCCAACTGATAAAATATAGGCTTGGCAAAGTATAATTTATTTTCCTAACCATGATAAATTTTGATCACCTGATAATCTGTGTGCGTGTGTGCACACGTATATATAGAACATATATTATACCATATACCAACGCACTTATACGCTAATTAGGAACTTAACAAAGTGCTATCTGCTCGTTTGGGTCCACTCCGCAATTTGGCAGGAAACCCAACTAACACAATGTACCATTTTCATGTTCACATCAATCTATAACCATAAATATTGTAACTATATAAGTGTGGACAGTTCAGTCGGTAAAGCATAAAACAACAATTTGTGTAGAGACTAAGACGTCAAAAATAGTCTCTGACAACAATATTCCTTGATCAGGTCAGAGTGAAAGAAAGGAACAAAAAGCCTTGAGATGTGATTACAATCTTGACCACTCATTTCCCCCTCATTGTTTTATTGTGTTTTTGCAGTAAAATAGTATCTTTATCAAACATTACAATTCTTATCCTAGCTAACGAAGTGCATAAGATTTGTGGCAAATATGCCGCTCGAGGGATATAAGTGCTACCAAACCTACTTCCACAAAAATGTTTGTCATGAAGGTGAAACATAATTTTCAATGGAAGCACCAGAAACTTCTTTTTTAGGGAGGGTGCTCGATTCTATAGAGGAGTTTAACAACTCATGGTGGGAAGTCAATTATGTCTACTGATTCGCCTCGAAATTGGGACAAGATGTCTATGAAATCTAGGAGGTAAACATGGCTTCCTGCATTCTAATTCTGAACAAGATGAGTTTTTTCATAAGGAAATCTCATTTATATAAGATCAAATGAGGACTTTAGCATATCTCATTGTGATTCGGAAGGACGAGATGCACAAGATCAAATGCTCAAGAAAATAAATTAGGACCTTCGCATTCCCATAACAAATCCATCCCAAAGGAAAGCATTACATTCACCCACAGAACACACAAAAAAATGTAAGGTTAAAGACTGCAGCTAAGAGGCCACCTATTTCTCTTTCAAAATTAAATTTATCCTCAACTTATAGTTCTAATGGTTTGGCAAAAGAAACCAGAAAAAAATTCATGTCATGCGAGCACTGTTTAACTCTACATCAGTGTTTTAAAAACCTCGACTAGCCGGCCTTGGAGGCGGGGGCTGGGTTTTCGTCCCTGTTTTGTGGGGGTCAGCATAGGGTGGCCTCGGGGTGCGCCTAGGCGGCTGAGGTGCACCCAGGCGTTCATCTAGGTGTTTTTTTACTTGGAAACCCAGGTCTGGTTCTGAAATGCAGAGAAGCCATTATAGTTTCAACGAAGAAGAAAGAGAGAGTTTCTCTCTAGCTCTAACTCTTTTCTATTTTTTTTTTTTTTTGTTATTTTTTTAATTGTTGCCCATTCAGATTCCGCCACCTAGCCTTTCAATTAACAAAGATTTATTTCTCTTGAAATTCCCTAGAACTGCTCCAGTCGCGCAGCCTTAATTTTCATTTAAATTCCCTAGAATATTGCCCACCCAGCCTTTATTTCATTTTAAATTTCCTATCATTGCTCCAGTCAGAACCAGGATAAGATTAGGAATGAGGATATCCGAGGTAAAGTAGGAGTAGCCGAAATTGAAGGAAAGATGAGAGAAAATCGGTTACAGTGGTTTGGGCATGTGAAACGAAAGCCTACAAACGCTCCGGTCAGAAGATGCAATTACGAGACTAAGGTAAGGGGCCAAAAGGGTAGAGGAAGACCTAGGAAGACTTTGGAAGAGACTCTAAGAAAAGACTTGGAGTACTTGGATCTAACGGAAAACATGGCACATATCCGAGTGCAATAATATTCTAGGATTCATACAGCCGACCCCACTCAGTGGGAAAAGGTTGCTCCACTCAGCCTTTATTTCCTTTTGAATTCCCTATAATTGAGACTTTCAGCCTTTATTTTCCTTGAAACTCCCTATAATTATGGCCACTCAACCTTATTTCTCTTGAAGTTCTCTATAAATGGTTACAATAAAATAAATAATTACAACATTCTAAGACCAACAACAACAACAACAACAAAGCCTTTTCCCACTGAGTGGGGTCGGCTATATGAATCCTAGAACGCCATTGCGCTCGGTTTTGTGTCATGTCCTCCGTTAGATCCAAGTACTCAAGTCTTTTCTTAGGGTCTCTTCCAAAGTTTTCCTAGGTCTTCCTCTACCCCTTCGGCCCTGAACCTCTGTCCCGTAGTCACATTTTCGAACCGGAGCGTCAGTAGGCCTTCTTTGCACATGTCCAAACCACCGGAACCGATTTTCTCTCATATTTCCTTCAATTTTGGCTACTCCTACTTTACCTCGGATAACCTCATTCCCAATCTTATCCTTTCTCGTGTGCCCATACATCCCACGAAGCATCCTCATCTCCGCTACACCCATTTTGTGTACGTTGATGCTTCACTGCCCAACATTCTGTGCCATACAACATCGCTGGCCTTATTGCCGTCCTATAAAATTTTTCCTTGAACTTCAGTGGCCTACGACGGTCACACAACACGCTGGATGCACTCTTACACTTCATCCATCCAGCTTGTATTCTATGGTTGAGATCTCCATCTAATTCTCCGTTCTCTTGCAAGATAGATCCTAGGTAGCGAAAACGGTCACTTTTTGTGATCTTCGCTAGATTGTTCCGGTCATTAGTGTGGATAAGTATATAAATGGATAGAGATAGGAAAGCAAACACAAGATGTACGTGATTCACCCAGATTGGCTACGTCCACGGAATAGAGGAGTTCTCATTAATTGTGAAGGGTTTACACAAAAGCAAACACAAGATGTACGTGGTTCACCCAGATTGGCTACGTCCACGGAATAGAGGAGTTCTCATTAATTGTGAAGGGTTTACACAAGTACATAGGTTCAAGCTCTCCTTTAATGAGTACAAGTGAATGATTTAGTACAAATGACATTAGGAAATATTGTGGGAGAATGGTCTCGTAGCCACGAAACTTCTAAGTACCGGAGTGTGGTATCGTCTTGACTTGCCTTATCTGTCTCATAGGTAGATGTGGCATCTTCTCTGGAAGTACTCTTCCTCCATCCAGGGGTGGTATCTGTAACTGGTGGAGATGCACAAGGTAATGTATCAATTTCACTTGAAACTTACTTGTAGTTTCATGCTTGGTCAAGCGCGATACAAACCATGTAGTAGGAGTCCCCCAAGTCGCCGAGCTAGGGGATCTGCTGAAAGAGGTGACAGACAAGGTAAGCAATCAGAGCTCCGGCTGATTGTTTCATTCATTCTCCCTATCTTGCAGGCAGCATGAAGGATAAAGAGAAGAAAAATGAGGAGAGATGATATGGGATACTTTTGCTTTTGAAGAAGTAACTTTCCACAGGCTTATTCTTGAACTGGGCTGGAGGGTTTTCTGGTTTCCTCCAGAGTATAAGGCCGACTGAAGAATTTGAGGGTCAAAACAAGTCCATCAAATCTAGAGTACGTTCGACCCTGCTGATATGGGATACTTTTGCTTTTGACAGAGTACTGGATGTATCGGCACGTGTGCTGTTACGCTTGTCTCCACATGCTTCCTTGTATCCTTCTCACTTGCCCTATTTGTTCCTCAGGCAGATGCGGTATCTTCCCTGGAAGCATAAGATTTTGAAGATGAGTACTCGAGAGCAATGCCAGGTAAGTAATCAGGTAAGGGGTTCCAGGCAGTCAGTTCCTGGCTGAAAGCTTGATTCCAAGTGCTGACTGATTGCTCTCTTTCTCCTTGTCTTGCAGGTAAGAACAAGGCCAAAGGAAAAGACAGGGAAAAAGCATGATATGGGATACTCTTGCTTTTAACCCTGATGATATGAGATATTCTTGCTCTAGTATAGCTTGTTTACAGAGGTATTATCGGGGGGAAAGAAAGCTGAATATTTCGAAAGGCTTCGTTGGGAGTGCCCTCTCAGATAAGAGAAAGGGTTGAGCATTTTTGCAGGTCTGCCTGTCCGTTAGGGATGGAGGTCGACATATATAGGAGTCTCCCTAACATCAAGTAATAATGCTATTCCTTTACCCTGCTTGGTTATAGCACGGTAGTGGGAGCTGCCAGCTTCACATGTTTTAACCCTGTCAGAGCACTTTGAAAAAGTGGTCTGTGGTATCTGGAAAGCTGATGTTGCGTGTGAAGATTACAGACAAGCTTTATCCAAGGAGATCCAGCTCTTTAAGTTGGGAAAGTGGTGCCTCTTCGATTTTCGAACAAGCAATCCTGTCGGGGATCTGGCTCTCGAGATTCGGAGAACGATGCCTCTTCGATTTTTGAGAAAGCAATCCTGCTGGGGGTCTGGCTCTCGAGATTCGGAGAGCAGTGTCTCTTCGATTTTTGAGAAAGTAATCATGTTGGGAGTCTGGCTCTCGAGATTCGGAGGGCGGTGCCTCTTCGATTTTGGAGCAAGCAATCTTGTTGGGAGTGTTTTCTCGAATGTGAGTAAAGGTTGGACGTGTTTACTAGTCTACCTTGCCACGAAGCACAGAGGTTGACACACAGGGACTTTCCAATTATCCAGCAGTGGTACTGTTCCTTTACCCTCTCTTCGATTTTTGAGAAAGTAATCATGTTGGGAGTCTGGCTCTCGAGATTCGGAAGGCGGTGCCTCTTCAATTTTGGAGCAAGCAATCTTGTTGGGAGTGTTTTCTCGAATGTGAGTAAAGGTTGGGCATGTTTGCTAGTCTACCTTGCCACGAAACACAAAGGTTGACACACAGGGACTTTCCAATTATCCAGCAGTGGTACTGTTCCTTTACCCTCTCTTCGATTTTTTGAGAAAGTAATCATGTTGGGAGTTTGGCTCTCGAGATTCGGAGGGCGGTGCCTCTTCGATTTTGGAGCAAGCAATCTTGTTGGGAGTGTTTTCTCGAATGTGAGTACAGGTTGGGCATGTTTGCTAGTCTACCTTGCCACGAAGCACAGAGGTTGACACACCGGGACTTTCCAATTATCCAGCAGTGGTACTGTTCCTTTACCCTTGTGAGTAATAATATGGTAGCTAGACCTTCAAAATTTATGTGTTTAAACTTTGTTAGTGTTGTTTCTTTGCAATTCTTTTACCCTTCTTGGTCAGAGCGATGTAGTGGGAGCTGCAAGCTTCACGTGTCTCAACTTTGTCAGAGAACTTTGGCAAAGTTATCCGTGGTACCCATGAGCTACTGTTGCGTGTGGGAAGTGGGTGATTGAACAGTACGATTCATGTGCTTTCTACTTCGTCAGAAATTTTCGACAGAATGCCCATAGTTTTCCGCAAAGCTGAGTGTGCGTGTGACAGGTGCTGACAAGGCTGGAAAAGTAGGTGCCTCTTCGATTTTTCTGAGATCGGCCCTCGTGGTCTTTGAGCATCCCAGCTTTTGAGAAAGCAAGCCTCTTCGATTTCTGAGATCGGCCTTCGTGGTCTTTGAACAGCCAGCTTTTGAGAAAGCAAACGCCTCTTCGATTTCTGAGATCGACCCTGGTCTCTGAGCAGCCCAGCTTTTGAGAAAGCAAACGCCTCTTCGATTTCTGAGCAGGCGCCTCTTCGATTTCTGAAGCTTCGTCGAGTGCAGATTTTTATAGGGGCTGACATTAAGTTCCAAAGCACACTTGAATATCCACCAGTAGAAGCTCCATTCTTGCACTTCTAAGATCTTGATTTGTCGAACCCTCTTCTCTCTTCAACACCTTTGAAAATGTCTGGCCCCTCCGACCGTCGTTTTGACTTGAACCTTGTTGAAGAGGCAGCCCCGCCTTCTCCAGACAACATATGGCGCCCATCCCTTCGTCTCCCCTACTGGTCCTCTTACCGTTAGGGATTCCGTGATGAAGAATGATATGACCGCTGCGGTAGTGGCCAGGAACCTTCTCACTCCCCAAAGATAACAGACTACTTTCCAAACGGTCTGATGAGTTGGCTGTTAAGGATTCTCTGGCTCTCAGTGTTCAGTGTGCAGGTTCTGTGTCTAATATGGCCCAACGCCTATTTGCTCGACCGCCAAGTTGAATCAATTGGCGGCTGAAGTGATGAGTCTCAAACAGGAGATTAGAGGGCTCAAGCATGAGAATAAACAGTTGCACCGGCTCGCACATGACTATGCTACAAACATGAAGAGGAAGCTTGACCAGATGAAGGAATCTGATGGTCAGGTTTTTACTTGATCATCAGAGATTTGTGGGTTTGTTCCAAAGGCATTTATTGCCTTCGTCTTCTGGGGCTGTACCGCGTAATGAAGCTCCAAATGATCAACCTCTGATGCCTCCTCCTTCTAGGGTTTTGTCCAGTACTGAGGCTCCGAATGATCCTCCTCCGGTGCCTTTTCTTTCTGGGGCTCTACCGCCTGCTGAGACTTCTCCTAAGCAACCTTTGTGAAGGCTCCCTCTTGTTTGTTTATTTTGACTCAAGTATATGTACATATTTGTAACTTATCGGGGATATCAATAAATAAGCTTTCCTTCATTTCAACGTATTGTGTTAAATACACCAAAGCCTTCTTCGCTAAGTTCTTTGAATTTTCTTTTGTTGAAGCTTGTATGTTGAAGCTTGTATGTTGAAGCTTTGTGAGTGAAGCATATAGGTTGAGGTAGTGTTCCCTTAATTTCCCGAGTGAGGAAAACTTCTTGGTTGGAGACTTGGAAAATCCAAGTCACTGAGTGGGATCGGCTATATGAATCTTAGAACGCCATTGTGTTCTGTCCTGTGTCATGTCCTCCGTTAGATCCAAGTACCTCTAAGTCTTTTCTTAGGGTCTCTTCCAAAGTTTTCCTAGGTCTTCCTCTGCCCTTCGGCCCTGAACCTCTGTCCCCATAGTCGCATCTTCTAAATCGGAGCGTCAGTAGGCCTTCTTTGCACATGTCCAAACCACCGTAACCGATTTTCTCTCATCTTTCCTTCAATTTCGGCTACTCCTACTTTACCCCGGATATCCTCATTCCTATCTTATCCTTTCTCGTGTGCCCACACATCCAACGAAGCATCCTCATCTCCGCTACACCCATTTTGTGTACGTGTTGATGCTTCACCGCCCAACATTCTGTGCCATACAACATCGCCGGCCTTATTGCCGTCCTATAAAATTTTCCCTTGAGCTTCAGTGGCATACGGCGGTCACACAACACCCCGGATGCACTCTTCCACTTCATCCATCCAGCTTGTATACAACATTCTAAGACCATATGACATAATTTCCAAGTACAACTAGACTTAGTAATGAAGAAGATGATATTATCTTTGATTTAGTTATAATTATATTTGTTTTACAAAGTATTATATTTTATAAATATAATTATATACATAATATATATTAAAATTTTTAGGTGTTGTGAGGCTTTCACCTAGGTAGGGCTATCCATGAAACGCCTTGCCTATGCCTTCGCCTTTTAAAACATTGCTCTACATGCATATGTTTATCATGGGCCTACATGTTTATTCACTAGCATGTTCATTTGATGCATCAATAATTGGTTTAGCATTTTCTAAAGTTTAATTTGAAATCCTTTTAACCATTAGATAATTTTAGTAGGTTCAATAATCTGAACTACTTTTAGTTGTACTGGTACTGGCATTTTCATACTTAGTCATATGCAGCACAATAACTTGTAATATTGCAAAAGCATTAAAGAACTTACACCAATGAAAAAGTGCAACCACATGGGTCCTTTTACCCACCTCCGAACTATAGGCATCACTGCACCAAGAGACACAATAACAAAGGTATTAGGAAACAAGCTAAGGAGGGAGACGTTTAACGAGGATGACGTCCATCCTATGCCAACAGAATAAGTAAAGAAAACACTTTAACTACATCAAGGTAACATGAGAGCAAAACTATTTTCAAAACTCCACTAGGTGGATAAGAGAAGGATGTTTCACATATATTATAATGAAAAACTGAAACAAAACCATAGACATTGAAGAACCCAACAAGCAATCTCTATTTTACGATCCTTGTGCCGCTCGAAGCATTTAAGAACTTGGCATTTTAGCCAAAATGGTTGGTCCCTAAGTTTGTCTACCATCAGTCATTTTGGTCATTCCATGAAAAATCCCTGCTAATTAAGAACCAAAATTCAGGACCCATTCTATCGATTTTAAATTTCAGGGACCATTATGGCTAAAAACCCTAAGAAATTCATGCAAATAATCTTTACTAAAGAAAACGAATAATAGATTACCATGGTTGAATCCATAAAAAGCACTTGCTGTGCCACCAACAGCTGAGCCAATCTGTACCATAAACACGAAATAAATTTCACCGACAGTCGACAGACCATATATTGAGATGCGGTGGCAGATGAAATTAGAAAAGAATACCATTGAAAAGCTATCCCTAATAAGAGGTGCAACAGTCCACTCGCTCGTTTCCATCTTCATAGAAAGAGGACCTGCACAATGATGGCATCTCATACTAGTTTCAGGTTTGGAATCGGCCATCGCTCTTTTTCTCTAATACACGTCTTGAATTTAAATTGTATATAACAGGCACCAGATCATCCTTCACAATGAACGCCTGTAAAAAAATTCATCATTCACTAAAATTAAATATGTTATGTTTCTGGCTCCGGCCATGATGATTCCTAACTCGTAAGGCCTTTCAAACAAAAGAAATCAAAGAAATTTGAACCTCAATCCAGCCATTGCTAATTTCATTTGCGATACAAGAATCAAACTATCAGAGACAACCAGAAAAGTGACGAGATTTGAGAATCCTACCTGCCAGTCTGAATGAGGAGTGAGGTCGCCGCCGACGGGATGAGGTAGCTCCGCTCACGGGGTTGGGTGGGTCTTCGGTTCGGTAGGACTGGGCTTTGAGTTCTTGTGTGGTTGGTACAACACCCGGGAAAATAAGAGAAATTTTCTCACTAACCGGTATTGGAGTTGGAAATATGGAAAAATAACTAAATTTTAAAACTCATATAAAATTATAGTCATTATTTTAATTTCATAATAATTATAATCAAAACTTGATGTAAAATTATTAATATAACCTTAATTTTAGGTTTCTCACAACAGCTAAAACACACTTACATCGGTTGGATGATTCGGTCTAGGTTTCCATTACATGAATAGGTCCCACACTTGCACAAGTATAGTTTTCCAATTGACAAAACCTTTTGTATTTGTGTACATTACATTGTTCTTCACAAACAAAGGCTCCAAGTGCTCCAGCATTAATTTTCAACCTCATAGGAGCATCACCTCTCTTGTCATCAAGATCAGTTGCCTCCAAATCTACTTTGGTCATCCTATGAGTCAATTGTACTAACGCTGGTTATCTGCTCTGGGCGTTTAGCTCGGCAATGTAGAGGACAAACTGAGGTAAGCAAATGGTAACTTTTGTTGATGCACAAAATCAGTGAGGACTTTGGTACAACAGAAAGTGTTAAGTTTGTGACCTTCGCTAGATTGCTCCGATCATTAGTGTGGATAAGTATGTAAATGGATAGAGACAGGGAAGCAAACACAAGATGTACGTGGTTCACCTAGATTGGCTACGTCCACGGAGTAGAGGAGTTCTCATTAATTATGAAGGGTTTACACAAGTACATAGGTTCAAGCTCTCCTTTAGTGAGTACAAGTGAATGATTTAGTACAAATGACATTCGGAAATATTGTGAGAGAATAATCTCTATTTATATAAGAGAGTTTCTAGTTTCATTCTGACATTGACACGTGTCGTGTTGTGATTGGCTTCTGATGTCAACACGTGTCGCGCTGTAATTGGCCTCTTGGTTGAAGGGAAACTCTTCTGGGTCCTTGACGGTATAACGTTGACCGGTGCTCAGTAGTTTCGGGATTGGTCAAGTATGGTACAAACAGTGCTCCCCTAAGTTCCTGAGTGAGGGAAGCTCCTCAGTTGGGGGACTTGCAAGATCCAAGCCATTGAGTAATCACGAAACTTCTAAGTACCGAAGTATGGTATCATTTTCACTTGCCTTATCTGTCTCATACGTAGCTGTGGCATCTTCTCTGGAAGTATTTTTCGTCCATCCAGGGGTGGTATCTTTAACTGATGAAGATGCACAAGGTAATGTATCAATTTCACTTGAAGCTTACTTGTAGTTTCGGGCTTGGTCAAGTGCGATACAAAACCCTATAGTATGAGTCCCCTAAGTTGTCGAGCTAGGAGATTTGCCGAAAGAGGTAACAGACAAGGTAAGCAATCAGACTTCCAAGCAAGCAACCTGGATCGGAGGTTCGGCTTCGGCTTCCGGTTGATTGTTCTCCTTCTCCTTGTGTCGTAAACAACAATAAGGATAATGAGAAGCAAATGGAGAAGAGATGATATGAGATACTTTTTCTTTTGAAGAAGTAACTTTCCACAGGCTTATTCTTGAACTGGGCGGAGGGTTTTCTGGTTTCCTCCAGAGTATAAGGCCGACTCAAGAATTTGAGGGTCAAAACAAGTCCATGAAATCAAGAGTGCGTTCGACCTTGATAATATGGGATACTTTTTGCTGTTGACAAAGTAATAGATGAATCAGCATGTGTTCTGTTACGCTTGTCTCCACATGCTTCCTTGTATCCTTCTCACTTGCCCTATCTGTTCCTCAGGCAGATATGGTATCTTTTCTGAAAGTATAAGATGTTGAAGACGAGTACTCGAGAGCAATGTCAGGTAAGTAATCAGGCAAGGGGTTTCAGGTAGTCAGTTCCTGACTGAAAGCTTGATTCCAAGTGCTGACTGATTGCTCTCTTTATCCTTGTCTTGCAAGTAAGAACAAGGGCAAATGAAAAGACAGGGAAAAAGCATGATATGGGATACTCTTGCTTTTGACTCTGATGATATGAGATACTCTTGCTCTAGTATGGCTGGTTTGCATAGGTATTATTGGGGGGAAGAAAGCTAAGTATTTCGAGACGCTTCGTTGGGAGTGCCCTCTCAGATATGAGGAAGGGTTGAGCATTTTTGCAGGTCTGCCTGTCCGTGGAGGATAGAGGTCGACATATATAGGAGTCTCCCTAACAACAAGTAGTAATGCTATTCCTTTACCCTTCTTGGTCGTAGCAATGTAATGGAAGCTGCAAGCTTCACGTGTTTTAACTTTGACAAAGCACTTTGAAAAAGTGGTATGTGGTATCTGGAAAGCTGATGTTGCGTGTGAAGATTGCAGACAAGCTTTATCAAGGAAATCTGGCTCTCGAAGTTCGGAGAGCGATGCATCTTTGGTTTTCGAACAAGCAATCCTGTCGGGAATCTGGCTCTCGAGATTCGGAGAGCGATGTCTCTTCTATTTTTGAGAAAGCAATCCTGTTGGGAGTCTGGCTCTTGAGATTCGGAGAGCGGTGCCTCTTCGATTTTTAAGAAAGTAATCTTGTTAGGAGTCTGTCTTTCGAGATTCTGATGGCGGTGCCTCTTCGATTTTTGAGCAAGTAATAATGTTATTCCTTTACCCTTCTTGGTCATAGCAATGTAGTGGGAGCTGCAAGTTTCACATGTTTTAACTTTGTCAGAGCGCTTTGAAAAAGTGGTCTGTGGTATCTGGAAAGCTGATGTTGCGTGTGAAGATTGCAGACAAGCTTTATCCAAGGAAATCTGGCTCTCGAAGTTTGGAGAGCGGTGCCTCTTCGGTTTTCTAACAAGCAATCATGTCGGGGATCTGGCTTTCGAGATTCAGAGAACATTACCTCTTCGATTTTTGAGAAAGCAATCCTGTTGGGAGTCTGGCTTTTGAGATTCGGAGAACGATGCCTCTTAGATTTTTGAGAAAGAAATCTTGTTGGGAGTGTTTTCTCGAATGTGAGTAAAGGTTGGGCATTTTTTCCAATTTGCCTTGCCACGGAACACGGAGGTTGACACACATTGGGACTTTCTAGTTATCAAGCAGTGGTGTTGTTCCTTTAACCTTGTGGGTAATAGTAGGGTAGTTGGACCTTCAAAATTTATGTGTCTAAACTTTGTCAGATATCTTTGGCAAAGTTATATGTGGTACCCGAGGAGCTGATGTTGCGTGTGGAAAGTGGTGCCTCTTCAAAATCCGAAAAGTGATGCCTTTTCAAAATCCGAAAAGTGGTGCCTCTTCAAAATCCGGAGAGTGGTGCCTCTTCAATTTTTGAACCAACGGCCTTGTTACCCTATCTTTTATAAGGGCACCAATTGTGTGCAATGAGTTCATTCAGAGAGTTATTGCTTCTAGGAATTTTCCCCTTACTTCAGAGATTTATTGCACCTCATTTCTCCTTCATCATTTCTGAGAATGTCTGGCTCATCCGACCGTCGTTTTGACTTGAACTTTGGTGAAGAGGCAGCCATGCCTTCTCAAGACAACATATGGCGCCCATCCTTCTTATCCCCTACTAGTCATCTTACCGTTGGAAACTCTGTGATGAAGAATGATATGACTGCTGCGGTGGTGGCCAAGAACCTTCCCACTCCCAAAAATAACATATTGAAGTTGCTATTAAGGATTCTCTGGCTCTCAATGTTCTGTGTGCAGGTTCTGTGTCTAATATGGCCCAACGCCTATTTACTCGAACCTGCCAAGTTGAATCATTGGCGGCTGAAGTGATAAGTCTCAAACAGGAGATCAAATGGCTCAAGCATGGGAATAAACAGTTGCATAAGCTCGCACATGACTATGCTACAAACATGAAGAGGAAGCTCGACCAGCTGCAAGAATCTGATGGTCAGATTTACTTGATCATCAGAGGTTTGTGGGTTTGTTCCAAAGGCATTTATTGCCTTCGTCTTCTGGGGTTGTACCGCGTAATGAAGCTCCAAATGATCAACCTTCGGTGCCTCTTCCTTCTGGGGTTCTGCCTAGTATTGAGGCTCTAAATAATCACCCTATGGTGCCTCCTCTTTCTGAGGCTCTGCCGACTGCCGAGACTTCTCCTGAGCAACCTTTGTGAAGGCTCCCTCTTGTTTGTTTATTTTGATTCATGTATATGTACATATTTGTAACTTATCGAGATATCAATAAACAAGTTTTGCTTCATTTCAAGTATTGTGTTAAAT